ACGACCCGCGGCGGGACCGTTTTCGTCGCCGGGGTTCGCCTCGACGCCACCCCCGCGCGCGGCTGGGGTGCATGGGCCGCGTAGTCCGCGCCTCATGGGGCGCGCGGTGCGACTTCTCCGTCCCCGATTTCCTGCCCGCCCTCCCGCCCGCCTTCCTCCGCTCACCGGCCTGGGTGGTGTCGCTCAGGTCGTGGCCGGCCGCGCTGCCCCGCGGATAGTCCCTCAGCTTCCTGCCGCTGAGGCTGAGGGAACCGCTGGCCGCCGCTTCCTCCAGCGCCCGCTCCAGCGAGCGCGTCCACGACGACGGCCCAGCCGCGCCGCAGCCCCCCGCCGCCAGGCTCCCGCTCGCCGCCGCGACCGCCGCCGGCATGAGCGTCGCGGAGCAGCCGCCGCCGCCACCGGAGCAGCCGCCCTCACCCGCCGCCGCCGCGGCCGCCGCCATTTGCCCGCCCCCCCCCGCTCTGCGCCTGCGCCGAAGCGGGCGGGCCGGCGTGGGCGGAGAAGGGCGGAAGGCGGCCTCTTGCGCGGAACGGCGCCTGCGCAGAGCGGCGAGGCGCTTCCCGTTTGTTCCAAGGCGGGCCGCGAGCCTTCTGGGAATCGTAGTCTAGACCAATGGCCTTCAAACTTGGCAAGTTTAAGACTTGTGGACTTCAATTCCCAGAATTCCTCTTCCAGTCATGTTAGCTCAGGAATTCTAGGAGTTGAAGTCCACAAGTCTTAAACTTGCCAAGTTTGAAGGCCATTGGTCTAGAGCACTGGGGGTGGAGGGGTGGGAAACAACCGACTAACATACACTCTGTTTAGTGACCATTCGAAGTTACAATGGCCCTGAAAAAAAGTGACAACCAGGTGGTTTTTGTTTTTTTTACATGACCATTGCAGCAGCATCTCAGGGATCACGTGATCAAAATGTAGATGCGTGACGACTATCTCATATGTATGACGGTCGCCGTATCCTGGGGTCATATGATCCCCTTTTACGACCTTCTTACCAGCACTGGGGAAACTAGATTCACTCAATAACTGCGTTACTCACTTAACAATGGTGGCAGGAAAGGTGGTTAAAATCGAGGAAAAACCCCATAACTGTCTCAGCGACATAAAGTTTGGGGCTCAATTGTGGTCGTAAACCGAGGACTACCTATATCACCCCTGTCTGCGGACAGTCCGGTTCCTGGGCTGGGTGGGATCACAGGAGGAAGAAAGCATGATTTTGGAACATGGAGCAGGAGTGGAAGTAGGGAAGCCCTCTCTAGGTGAGCATAGGAACAACTCAACCTCTACCACCACTGCACACCCAAAGGAATAATGCAAGTGGTCCTCGCGAGACGCTTAACGTTTTGCCCCATTTTTGCAACCTTTCTTGCTTAAGCTGTTAAGTGAATCAATGCAATTGTTAAATTAGTAGCATGGTTGTTAAGTGAAACCGGCTTTCCGCTTGACTTCGTCAAGAGGGGTCGTAAAAGGAGATCACGTGACCTGGGACATGGCCACCGTCATAAATACGACCCATCATAATATTTGGCGGTCAGATTTTGATCATGTGACTACCTGTATATGTCCACTGTTGTGCAAAGAAACCCCCTTAACAAATACCTTAACACATCACAAACTGTTGTGTTAAGATGTTTAAATTTAGTAGCAGTAGTAATTTAATCCATCATCTACCATAACTCTATGTACAGTATCATCCATCTTATCTATGTATCATTATCAATCGTCGATCTATCTGTTTATCTATATCTCATCTCCCTCTGCTCTCTCTCTCTCTCATCTATCTAATCTACCTATTTTTATCTATCTCTATCTCATCTACCTATCTACCCACACACACGTCAATCTATCTCAAACTCTCCTCCTACCTATCTGTCTCTATCTCATCTACCTACTACCCCCCATACACCCATCTCTGTCTGTCTGTCTTGTCTATCTCATCTGCATACTACCCACACATATCTATCTACCTACCTACCTATCTATAGCATATGCACAAATTCCTTGTGTGTCCAATCACACTTGGCTAATAAATAATTCTATTCTATTCTATTCTATTCTATTCTATTCTATTCTACTCTACTCTACTCTACTCTACTCTACTCTACTCTACTCTACTCTACTCTACTCTACTCTATTCTATTCTCCAATATCTATTCTATTCTATAATATCTATTCTATTCTCTATTCTGTTTTCTATTCTACTCTACTTTACTATCTATCTACCTATTTTATCTACCTATCTTTATTTCATCTACCTATTTATCCACACACACATCCATCTATCTGTATAACTCTCCCTCTCTCCCTCCCTCCCATCTACCTACTACACACACACCCATCTCTCTGTAATCTATCTTTATCTATCTATCTCTATCTCATCTACCTACTACTACACACACACCCATTTCTCTCTCTAATCTACCTGTCTTTATCTATCTGTCTCTATTTCCCAGAATTTCCCAGTCATCATAGCTTGCTCTCTTGTAATCCCTTCCTCTGCAATCTCTTCACTTTAGCTGGCAAGAGAAAAAGAAACAGACACGGCTGGCTGGAGAATTCTGGGAGTCGAAGCCCACAAGTCTTAAAGTTGCCAAGTTTGGAGACCTCTGTAATAAACCCTGGTTAACATAATCATGGGTTCTTCAGCCCAATTTCCTAGGTTTGCACAACTCTGAATCACAATCAGACCATGCTGGCTGTAGAATTAAGGAGAAATTCCCTGACAAGTGAGAACAATTAACCATTAGAACGGCTTTGCCTTCAAAAGTTGTGGGTGCTCCATTTTAACAAAAGGCTGGACAACCGTTTGTCCAGAATGGTATAGGGTCTCCCTGCTTGAGCAGGGGGTTAGACTAGATGACCTTCAAGGTCCCTTCTAGGTGTTATTCTGCTTTCTGGGCTTGCATAATATACTGACTTCAAAGGTGGCTGATTACTTTGAGGTTCAGGATATCCCGCTAACCTACTTCTGCCTTCCTTCCCGGTTCCTTGTGTACTTTCCGCCGCCAATTAAAACAGGATTGAGGTTAAATGTCTACGGACGTTCTCAGTCATTCAAGGTCATGGTTGTCCCTAAGATGTTTGTTTTCCCCAAAGTCAACGGGCCTTTGTTTTTCCTTGAAGACGTTTTGCTTCTCATCCAAGAAGCTTCTTCGGTTCTGACTGTCAGTTCAGCCAGAGGGGAAGAAGCTCCTTGGAGGAGAATCGAAACATCTTCAAGGACAAACCAACTCCAGTTGCCTTTTGAAAAACCACCTTTGTGACAGGAATGAGGTCACCAGGAGCCACGGTGGCGCAGTGGTCAGAGTGCAGTACTGCAGGCTACTTCTGCCGACTGCCGGCTGCCTGCAATTTGGCAGTTTCAATCTCACCAGGCTTAAGGTTGACTCAGACTTCCGTCCTTCCGAGGTCGGTGAAATGAGGACCCAGATTGTTGGAGGGGCAAGAGGCTGACTCTGTAAACCGCTTAGAGGGGGCTGTAAAAACACTATAAAGCGGTATACAAGTCTAAGTGCTATTGCTATTTTAACTGAGTGTACATGTCAACCGGCCCATTGGCCTATGCAGCAGAAGCAGCTCCTGGGAAATTATTTCACCGAGTGTATAAATTTTACTTGATAGATCCAAATCGGTACAGAAGAAGCAAAGCCAGTTCTTTGGGGGTGAAAGGTAGCATAGTTAAACTCATTGGCCAATCTACCCCCCCCCGCCATGCTCATGAGTTCATCGAAGTCTCCCCATCACAAGACCCTCACTTAACACACCTACACCTGAAGCCCTTATAAACAGAAGAACACCGACATCCCCTAAACTCCACTGAAGGGGTTATCTAGCCTGGTAATGAAACCGTGGGAAGCCTATAGATCAGTGATGGCTAACCTTTTCAGCTTGGTGTGTCGAATATCAGGAAAAAGTGTAGCCTTCCTTGGGTCGTGTGTCACTTCAAGAAATATCAATAACTTGGTTTATGACGGACTGGGCTGGGGTGATCACACAGGGCTGTGAAACTCGTCTCCCTGGTCTCAGGGCTGCAGGTGCAGGATGTGGGGATCGGAAGGCCACCTTACAGGGCTGCGAACCTCATGGATCTCCTTTCCTCCTGTAGCGTTCCTGAGGTAATGAAACTGACAAACCTCAGTTTATGGCGGTTAAAACTGGTTCTCTGTTGCAAAGATCTCGCGGCAGCGGTGACACCACGCCTCCACGCCACAAGCAGGGAGCAGGGATTGGAGCAGAGCACAGGCAGCCTCTAAATGTGCAGGTTTTCCCCACACCAACAGGCGTGTCAGTCAAAGTGCCTCGGTGTGTCACGAGTGACACACTTGTCATAGGTTAGCCATCACTGCTATAGATCAAGGGTCTTCAAACTTGACAGCTTTAAGACTTGTGGACTTCAACTCCCAGAATTCCTCCTCCGGTCATGTTAGCTCAGGAATTGAAGTCTTGAAGTCCACAAGTCTTAAACTTGCCAAGTTTGAAGACCCTTGGTATAGAGGTTCTCAGCCATCCAGGCCATGGTTGTCCCAAAGATGCTTTTATCAGGAGGCAACTGGACTTTGTCTTTTTCTTTTGAAGATGTCTCGCTTCTCCTCCAAGAAGCTTCTTCAGTTCTGACTGAATGGTGGGGAATGGAAGGGTTTGTATTCTTTGCAGACAGCTGGTCATTTGCATCCTTTTAGAGCAGGGTTCTCCAAACTTGGCCACTTTTAAGATTTGTGGACTTCAACTCCCAGAATTCCCTCAACACCGTCCAACTATTTACAAAGTCTGCACTACAATTACTATTAAACTTCTCATAACTCCTTATCGCCCATCTCCCTCCCACTTGTGACTGTGTGACTGCAACTTTGTCGCTTGTATCCTTACGATTTTATTGACTGTTTCCTAGTATGATTTGATTGCTTATTGTACCCTATGACTATCAGTAAGTATTGTCCCTGGTTCTTGACTCTTGACTAATGTCTCTTTTCTTTTATGTACACTGAGAGCATTTGCACCAAGACAAATTCCTTGTGTGCCCAATTACACTTGGCCAATAAAGAATCCTCTTCTATTCTATTCTATTCTATTCTGTTCTGTTCTGTTCTGTTCTATTCTATTCTGTTCTGTTCTGTTCTGTTCTGTTCTGTTCTGTTCTATTCTATTCTATTCTATTCTATTCTATTCTATTCTACTCTACTCTACTCTACTCTACTCTACTCTACTCTATTCTCTATTCTATTCTATTCGCATCAAGACAAATTCCTTGTGTGTCCAATCATACTTGGCCAATAAATTCTATTCTATTTTATTCAATGATGCCACAGTACTGTTAAAGATGTGATTGAGATATGTAAAGGTAAAAAAAAGCACAATAGAAATATTATGAAAAAAATAAAAGAAGAGGCAGAATATTATATTTTCCCAATAGAAAAACATGTTCTTAAGAGGCAGAAAGCAGACAGTATTTTCTTAATGTGCCTATTCACAAACAAAACACCTTCACCTGCAGGAGATGAGGTGAAGGAGAGGACATGACCTTAATCCCATTCATTGAGAAAACTGGAAACAATACCTGTCCATTAAGAAAGGCAGACTCAGAGGCAATAAACAACAGGATAAAATCAATTACACATGCCTGTCAGGATTAGGTTCAGAAAGCTGATAATTAAGGCCCATCCCGAGCCTTTGTGAAACAAGTACAACTGATCAAATAATAAAAGGGTGCAAAGCCAGCCCCAAAATGACAAAAAAACTGCAAACTGGATAAAAAATCCTTGCACTCCTCAAGCTAATTGGTCAGCTGCCCCAGAACCAAATCCAAGGGGTGGTTCTGCTCTTCAATAAACAAGAATCTTTCTTTCCAATCAGCCTCCATTTTATTTCCAGCTCCTTTCTCCCAACTTGGAACTGGACCTGGATTTTTTCTTCCAACAAAACCAACCCACCAGCTCCAAGAACTCACCTTCGCCTTCATCCTACATACGAGCTACAGATACAGTATTTGCCACTCTAGTTAAACTCCCAATTTTCCTTCCTGAGCCACCCGGTATCCATTGTCCACCAATACAGTTCAATCATATTGTTTTGGGGAACAGTCTGCGTTGCTAGGAGGTCGTCCCATCCGGCGACCTTGAAATGTTGGGACTTTCTCAGGCTGCCAACAGCTCACGTACCTTCCTTAGCTCCCTCCCAGCTCCCCACACATTCCAACCATTTTATTTAGAAATCAGGTTGCAAGAAGCGGTGCCTTACAAGTCAGCCGTGACAGCTTGTTAAAAGGGGAAAACCAGATACTAAAACTCCTAAATACAATATAAATACAGCTGCAAATGTGATGCAGAGCTCTTCTCAGGCTCCTACCAATAACTCCTCCAGAGGAAGTGAGATAGGTATAATTAGTGCCATTCTGACTTTCCCTCCCTGGTACGGGGGATTTTTTTTTTAAAAAAAAAAAATGAAGAGCCAACTTCTTCATTTTTGTAAAAGAAATGTTCTTCCTTCAATGGGCTGGTTGGGCTGCCGTTAAATTCGCAATTCTTATTCTCAAATTTATTTGCCGCCTATCTTGTAATTTAAGTCAGAGCACGTATTGTATGATACTATTCATAGTTGTATTATGTATTTTACTATTCCAAGTTATAGGTGCTTCATCCCTGGAGGTTTTTAACAAAAGAGACTGCACAGCCCCTTGTCTGCAATGGTATGGGGCCGTGATGGCGAACCTATGGCACGCGTGCCACAGGTGGCACACAGAGCCAGTTGTGCCGACACGCGAGCTGCAGGCAAACTTACCTCACTGCGCATGCGCGGGCCTCACAGCTGATTTTCAGCCCATTTGAGGCCTTTTTCCAGACTAGATAATTTAGCAGTGAGAAGATATAATTTGTCGCTCAGCGTTGAAGTGATGGGCCTAAGGTTTGTTTTCCTACAGACATTTCATTACCTGACTAGATAACATGATCAGTGCTAGAAAGGAATGGAATTTGTTTATATACTACAGGCATGATATTCCCCTCTGAAAAAAAAATCGGGGCCGGCCAAAAGAGACACCCCCCCACCACGCGCCCCGAACTCACCGCCCGGCCCCCGTTCGCACCGCCCGCCTGCCGCTCCCACCGCCCGCCCGCCCCTCGCACCGCCCGCCCGCCCGGCCTCCGCTCGCACCGCGTTGCCTCGGGAAGGGAAAGGCAAAACCAGGAGCCGCTGCTGCCGTTGCAAAGCGCCGCCGCGGCTCTTCCTTTTTGCCTTTCCCTTCCTGAGGCAACGCGGGACTGGAGCCACGCAGAGCCGCGCCGGCGGTAGCAACTCCTGACTCGGGGCCTCCGAGGGGAGGGGAAGGAGGAGAAGGGGGGAAAGGGGGGGCGATTCCCCAAAAAATCGGAATTCCGATTTTAATCGGAAGAATATCATGTCTGATACTAGTGCCGTGATGGCGAACCTATGGCACACGTGCCACAGGTGGCACGCAGCCAGTTGTGCTGACACGCGAGCTGCAGGCAAACTTACCTCACTGCGCATGCGCACGCCTCACAGCTGATTTTGGGCTGGTTTGAGGCCTTTTTCGGCCTCCCAGAGGCTTAAGGACGGCTTCTGCAGGCTAAAAACTAGCCCCGTTTCATCACTTCCTGTTTTTCCGAAAATACTGGAAGTGACGAAACGGGGCTAGTTTTCGGCCTGCAAAGCCTGCAGAAGCCGTCCTCAAGCCTCTGGGAGGCTGAAAAAGGCCTCAAACTGGCCAAAAATCAGCTGTGAGGCGCAGTGCAGGTAAGGGGGTGGATAGGTGGGGATTGTAGGCATGTGCGCAGGGGGCGTGGGGGTGGCGCACATTACATTCTGGGTGCTCTCACGTGAGCGCAAACATGCAAGCGCGTGCACACTTCTTGGCAGAGGAGCCCAACAAGGTTAGCCACCACTGGTATAGGATCTCCCACTTGAGCAGGAGGTTGGACTAGAAGACCTCCAAGGTCCCTTCCAGCTCTCTTCTGATTGACGGATTGATACATTATATACCATTTACAATGTTTTATAAATAGCACACATCAGGTTCTCGACCTCGACTGCTTGAAGACTTGTGGACTTCAACTCCCAGAATTCCCCAGCCGAGCACGGCTGGCTGAAGAATTCTGGGAGTTGGAATCATGCGATCTTAGGGACGGGTGGGGTGGCAGTCGTAACTTTGAAGATGGGTCCTAAGTAACGTCTTTCGAGCTTCCAACAAGCCAAGTCAAGGATGGAAAACCAGTTTCCACTTAACAACCACACGATCCCTTTTAACAACTGCAATGATTCGCTTCACCGTGGCAAAAACAGGTCGTAAAACGGGACACGGCTCATTTGAAAACTGTCTTGCTGAGCAACAGGCATGTCAGGCTCAACAACCTTTAGCAGTTTCAACAGCCATTTTTTTGCTAAGTCTCCCTTGATAGAACACAGGTAGTCCTTGACTGACAGCAGTTCATTTTGTGACTGCTTCAAGTTACACAACGGTCCTAAAAAAAAAAGGGACCCGTGATCGTTTTTCACACTTAACCACCGGTGCAGCATCCCCAGAGTCATGGGGTCAAAGTTCAGACCCAACTGGACCCTGCACTTATGACGGTTGCAGGGGAAGGGGGTCATGTGATTCCCTCTTTTGCGACCTTCTGAAAAGCAAAGTCAAAGTTAAGGTACGGCTACCTTAACAACTAGTAGAATAGAGTAACAAAGCTGGAAGGGACCTTGGAGGTCTTCTAGTCCAACCCCCTGCTTAGGCAGGAAACCCTAGACCATTTCAGACGAGTGGCTGCCCAGTCTCTTCTTAAAAACTTCCAGTGATGGAAGCAGCCACAACTTCTGGTGGCAAGCAGTTCCACTGGTTAGTTTTTTCTCAGCAAAATTTCTCAATTCCAGGTTGCTTCTCTCCTTGATTAGTTTCCACCCATTGCTTCTTGTCCTGCCCTCAGATGCTTTGGAGAATAGCTTGACTCCCTCTTCTTTGGGGGGCAGCCCCTGAGATATTGGAAGATTGCTGTCATGTCACCCCTATCCTTCTTTTCCTTAAACTAGACATGTCTTTTGTCTATCTATGGTTCGCTCAGATGTCTTTCTTTCTTTCTTTCCTTTCTTTCTCCCTCCCTTCCTTTTCTTATTTCATTATTTACTTTCTCTCTCTGCCTTCCTTCCTTCTCTCATTCCTTCCTCCCTTTTTCATTTTTCTTCCTTCCTTCTTCCTTCCCTTTGCTTACCTCCCTCCCCCTTCCTTCTTTTCTTTCTTTCTTTCGCTTTGCAGAAAGGTGGACTTCCTCTTCTCTGGGGGAAGCCCCTGAGATATTGGAAGGCTGCTATCCTGTCACCCTTGGTCCTTCTTTTCATTAAACTAGACATACCCAGTTCCAGCAACCGTTCTTCGTATGTTTTAGCCTCCACTCCTCTAGTCCTCTTTGTTGCTCTTCTCTGCACTCTTTCTATTGATTCATTCAACAACTGTGACAAGGTCATAACATGGGGACAATTGATCACTTCATGAATGTCTCACTTAGCAACAGAAATTCTGGGCTCAAATTGTGGTTGTAAGTCAAGGACTAACTCCACAAGCCCATTGCCCAATAATAACGGTGCACAACTCACGAACCCGTAACTTTTTGTAATTTTATTTTTAAAAAGTCCAATAGCTTTAGAATAGATCCAAATGTATTAACTTCTCCAAAAAAAAAAAAAAAAATACCCAAAGGTACAGATTTAAAGTATATTCTCCTTAAGTACAAACTAACTTTCTTGAGGGATGCATTGCATCAATCTTTTTTGCATCCGGCTTGATGCAAAAGGTTTGTTTGCTCCGTTTTAATTGCATCCTGGCACAAACCAAGCGCAGGATGGTGCTCAGCATACAGGCTCTTGGTCTCGAACCTGGTGCCTGTGAGGTGGGTTGGGCTAATTGCAATGGCCCTGAACTGGGTGGGGGATGATGGGGGCTTCTCCAACCTATCTGATTGGGCACCGGGTTAAGGGACGGCTTGGTCTTCTTCATTTTTAACAGACTTCCAACAGAATTTTTAGTACACAATTTAAAAAATAATAATAAAAACGTCCAAAACTTTTTCCACTGTAATGATTACAGTAGTTTCTCAGCCTTGGCAACTTTTAAGATATATGGGCTTCCAGAATTCTCCCCAGCCAGCATCGCTTACTCTCTTACAATCCCTTCTTCTGCAATCTCTCCACTTCAAGGGGTAAGAGGAAGAAAATAAAAATAAAAACCAGGCATAGCTGGCTGGAGAATTCTGGGAGTTGAAGTCCACACGTCTTAAAAGTTGCCAAGGTTGAAAAACACCGATATAGAAGATTTAAAAAAAAAAAAAAAATTAGAAACAAAAGAACATTAATCATCATGGGCCATAGTTTTTAATTTAAAAAAAATGCTCTAAGGATTACCCAAATCTTCTTTGCTTTGAAAACCACAAGAAAATGAAATTTTCACTGTAACCTCTGACCCTAGGCCTACGAATTAGGGTCCTCTTATGGATGGATGAACCTCCAGAAATTCAGGATGTTTTCACAGGCAATTCCATTATTCCTCTTAGGGTTCCAAATATCCGCTGGTTGGAAGTCAAAATTAATCAGACATGCAGAGGGCTTGGTGTGTGTGTGTGTGTATGCTGAGATGTTGACTCCACCACTTCTGATCCCTTGACACGACAGGAAGGTCCCTCGGTGGAACTTACCGCTAAGTAGAGGAGTCACAAAGTGCGCGTTTCTCACTACACAACAAAGCAATCTTCAACAGAACTCAGAAAAGGGGAAAGTGGGGTGTTAAATGAAACCAGGTTAATTTCAGTGAAGAAAACCAAGCGGCTCCCTTTGTGACCGAAGGATAAAACTGAACTCGAGTTGTGGTGGCAGGTTTTACTACAAAGATACTCACACGTCGTTCGTTATTTTTTTGTTTTTTGTTTCGCAAGCCTACGGACCGGATCCGTGCCAATTATCGCCGGGGAGGTCTTGATGGAGACCTGCCCAATTGACCATCACGGCAATTATTCCACCTCCCCCCCTCTGCCCCAATTGCTTCCGATTTGGGGGATGTGTGTGTGAACTAGAAGAAAACGGGACGCGCAAGCCGTTCAGATGAAACAGCCAACGAAAGAAGAGCAGAAACTGACCTTCCCTGGGAGGCCTGTGGCCAAAACTAAAACTAAATCGGACCAGGAGGGCCACTGTATATGATTTTTTGCATGAAGAAAGAAAAATATATTTTTTTTTTCATCTTTGCAGGGTGGAGCATCGACACCTACTGGCATTTTCAAAAACAACCACAACAACAACAAAAAGTAAATAGGGATGTCCCCTTCTTGCAGGGGTGAATTGGACCTTCCCAAATCCAGGGCGAAGTGCCTATTTAAGTAAATAAACCAAAAGCGTGCTGTGTTTCCTTGTTATATCGGCATAGATGAAAGGGATGGGTTGATGGTGTATCTCAGGGGTCCCCAAACTTGGCCACTTTAAGACTTGTGGACTTCAATTCCCATAATTCTCCCCAGCCAGCAGTGCTTCCTCTCTTGCGATCCCTTCCTCTGCAAATCTCTCTCTCCGCTTTAGGAGGTTAAGAGAAAAAAGAAACAGGCACGGTTGGCTGGGGGATTCTGGGAGTTGAAGTCCACAGGGCCTATAGTGGCCAAGTTTGGAGACGTCTGGTCTTAACTAGTTCAAGCAGAAGGTGCCCAACCTTGGCCACTTTTTAAGAGGTGCGGACGTCAACTCCCGCGGCTGGCTGGGGAATTCTGGGGATTGAAGTCCACTGAGTCTTAAAAGCCATCAAGGCTGGACATCCCGGTATAGAGGAAGGGTAGTTAAATGAAGGGGAAAAGGGTTCGGCTCCTTCGGGATCTTTTGACACAAAAGTCTCCAATGTCTCCCATGACTTCCGGACCACAGTCTCTCCGGCTCCTTCCAAGGGGAGCAGGGCCTCTTCTAGGCCACCGTCACAAAACGGCTGCCCTTATTCTGAGCGAGAGCTGTCCTTTGTTCTTTCAGGATCCCGAAGCGCTCGTTGAGGGTCATGCTGGTCTGTGAAGCCGAAAAGAGAGGAAGTCATTATTATGACAACATTATTAAGCACTGATGACGTTACCTAGTTCGGTAGTGAAACGTCGTCGGCGAGAGAAACCACCGAGCTCAGAGAAGCACACCAAGGACTCCGCAGTAGTAGTATTATGCTTCATCGCAGAGTCAGCCAGATGTTTGGACTGGGATGTGGCATTTTGAGCCACCCATCGAGGTCTTCCCAAGAACCTGGGATAGGCGGACATTGTTGTTTAATAATATCAACGGTGTTGAGGTTCGCCGGCAGCCTGTACAGACGGCAGCGGAATGGGACAGCGGGGAAGAAAGGGGACCAGTCAGGGAGTCTGGAGAGGACTCGGATGAGGGTCCTGCGTCCAATGCAGAGATGGGGCCAGGACCATCTGGGAGTGGACTCTGGAGCCTCTGGAGTCTGGCGGCAGCAAGGAAGAGGAACAAGGGGAGCCTGTTCCCAGCGCGCGTGCGCACAGAGCTGCTAGAAGGCAAGAGCAGCTGAAACAAAAGGGGAAACTCTGGAGTAAGACTGGGAGATGATTGCCCCTCCCATAAGGGATAAAGGACAGGCAAAGATGACGAAACCTTTGCAGGAAGCAAGGGCATTCAGTTCAGATTCATTCTTGGAAGCTCTTTGTACTTCGGCTGGTTTTTTTCCTAGTTTATTTGACACTTCTGCTATTGGCAGCATTTCACAGGAAAGAAAGGTGGATGCTTATCTCAAGGGACTGTTTGAGAGTCATTACTGGCTGGGAATGAAAATAATTCCCAGTGTTGCAATAAAACAAGATAAGTGTGTGCATAATTACGGTCTCGGAAGTCTTGGTCAGAACAAAAGGAACTGTGGCAGGATGTAAGCTGTTCGGATGTAAGCTGCCTTTTGCAATTGACTGAAGTGGTGATTTTGCCAATGACCGTGGTGTTCAACTGGTGCTCCAGATATTTTGGGGCTCTACCCAAGGCACCTATCACTATTGGTGCTTCCTTTGCATTTCTTTTGCCAGTGTCATTCTACTTCTATTTGCAGGTCCTTTGTATTTTGGGATTTTTTCTTTTTCCAGTTGCATTCCAGTTTAACAGATAATCAGAGTTGGAAGGGACCTTGTAGGTCATCTAGTCCAACCCCCTGCCCAAGCGGGAGACCCTACACCAGTGATCCCCAACCTTTTTTACGCCACGGCCCGGTATCCCCAACCTTTTTTATGGCGCGGCCCGGTACCGACATCAGCTGGGCGCCGCCATCTTGATGAAAAAGTGCTTCCGGTGAGCTTTCTACCCGGAAAAGCTCACCGGAAGCACTTTTTCATCAAAACAAGATGGCGGTGCCCAGCAAGCCAGCGGCCCGGTAGGACTTGTTCCACGGACCGGTACCGGTCCACGGACCGGTGGTTGGGGACCCCTGCCCTACACCATTTCTGACAAATGGCAGTCCATTCTCTTCTTGAAAGCCTCCAGGGATGAAGCTCCCACAACTTCCGAGAGCAAGGTGTTCCATTCCGAGGGTAAAGTGTTCCATTGAGGATCTATTCACTGCACCAACCAGAAAGAGGACTGAGAAAATAAGTACAGACCCTTCATATCCTGGACATAAACCGTTTTAACTTCTCCCCTCTGGATGCTGCTTCAGGGCATTACATGCCAAAACACTTAAGGCACATCACTCTGCTGAACACTTAATTCCCACAAGACTGTCTTAGGCCTAAAAATATTTAACCATTGCTTATTGCTATTATCCTTCTCCTCTTCTCCTGTTTCCTGCTATCTTCTCCTATTGGTATCTTATTTATCTCTTGTTGTTTGTATCATATGATTAAGGGTTGTAACTTTGATCTATGATCTATCTGCTTAGGCTCTGGAGACAAATCCCTTGTGTGTCCAATTACACTTGGCCGATAAAGAATTCTATTCTATTCTATTCTGCCCTATTCTTATTCTTTTACTAGCTCGATACCTGTGCTTCGTTACAAAACTATGTGGTCGGGCTTAGATTTGGGGGAGGAAAATAAAATGGGGTGGGTGGGAATCGTGCCTCTGCCTACCAGCATCCATCGGTATTCATCTGGCTAGCGTCCTGTCAGTGTGTGAGAGTTGAGGGCTGTTTGGAAACTGAAAGAGTATTTGCTGTGGAGAAAGGAGACAGCAAGGGGCCTGGGCGTGGCTTAGCTCAGCTGTTCTGTACTAAAACTGCTTGGTGCTGCTGTGAAACCGAAACTGAAAGTCCTCTGCTTGTGTTTTGCATTTGGAACAGATTTCTTTTGCAGGTGGGGAGTAGAACTCCTTAGCATCAGAGCGTGTTAATAATAATAATAATAATAATAATAATATAGGAAATACTAATGCTCTGAGGGTCATTTTGAAAAATCCTCTCTTAGCGAACACCTAGATGCCAAGAGGAACATAGGTGCCAAATTTCAAGTTTGTAGGCTTGACGGTTCTGGAGATTTTGTGATGATGTGTGAGTGGTCTTTCATCCTCAAGTTAGATTTTTTTCCCCCCTCCCAAATGTTAACGTACACCACTGAAGCTACATGAAAGAATTGTGGACGATCCTGGGTACCCCCTTTTCTTTGGGCTAAATGTGATTTCCTCTCATTCACATCCAGCAAAGTCCCAGCAAACAGACTTTCAAGGGTGATTTACAATCACAGATCTTTATCAGGCTGGGAGAGTTGCCAGGCCGATAGCGAACGCCACACTGTAGCAGACAATACTTGGCAAGGAGTCAAGGACAGATCTTCACACTAATTAAACGAACTAATTGTCTCCTGCAAACCCCACTACCCTTTCGCTCCTCTTTTATTCCCTATGGGAAGGGCCATTCACCGACCACCTAAGCCTTTGCTCCCAATTTGACCCTTGTTCCTCAGCTGTTCCCTTCTTCTTCTGGCAGCTCTGTGCATGCGCACACTGAGAACAGGCTCCAGCTGTTCTTCTTCCCCACTGATCTCTGACTCCGAAGGCAGCTGATAACTGTTGGACAGCCATGGCACCATCTCTGCCTCCGACGCAGAGCCCTCGTCAGAACCTTCCCCAGACTCCAGGACTGGCCCATGTTCCTCCCCAACCTCCTCACTGTCTGAATCTGCCACCACAACACTACCAACCTGCTTCCCGACACTGTTGATGTCAAATTGCAGAGGGACACCTTTGGGGACCTTCTTCTCTTCCGATGGTTCCTTCTTCAGGAGAAAGGGGGGTATGAGATTGCTGGTGAGTCTTGGTTTCAAAGAGCTGTAGAGCAAAAAAATAAATAAACAGATTGTGATAGCGCACTGGGTAGGTTTGTCAGTGTGTAAGAATTTATGACCTGGAATAGCCATGGCAACAAGTCAGTCAACGGGGACTATTTGATGACAGAGACACAGGCTTTGTTGTGTGAGCCATGTGAGACAGCTTGGAGCCTGGGCGTGGCTTACCTTAACTGTTCTGTGTATAAAAGAGTTTGTTTGTCTTTGCTTGAGAGTACTTGCTACTTCTCTCTACCACGTTGCAAGAGCTGCATGGGTATTGTATACATGCATCACGTTTTATATTATTGTACATAAAGAAGTTTCTTCTATATAATGAATCCTGCTGAATTATTGGCTTGTGTGCTGGCTGGATTGCTACAAACTCCTACAAGGTTCAAGCAAAAGGTTTGCTTCGCCATGAGTAGAAACCATCTGCGGGATATTCGAATGGGAAATAAAAGTGATTTTTGTAGGACGACAGGCAGAGCCCGGGGATGGAGTCAAACAAGGAATAAGCCTGGAGTCGTTACGGTTCCACAAGCGGTCCATCTCTTCAATTCCATTAACTCTTATGTGTCTATGGGGATTCTCAGCCATCCAGGTCATGGTTGTACCAAAAGTGCTTTTGTTTTAAAAAGAGGCAACTGGACTTTTTTTTTTTCTTTGAAGACTTTTCGCTCCTCATCCAAAGAAGCTTCTTCAAGCCGAAAAGTCGTCTTGGATGAGAAGCGAAACGTCTTCAAAAAAAACAACAGAAAGTCCAGTCGCCTCTTGAGAAAAAAAAGCACTTTTGGGACGTTAACTATTATCCAATCCATCCCTGGAGATTTTTAAGAAGAGATTGGACAACTATTTGTTGAACTGTTGCAGTCTCCTGCTTGAGCAGGGGGTTGGACTAGAAGACCTCCAAGGTCCCTCCCAACTCTGTTATTCTAATTTAGGACTGACTAGAATCTTGTGAGTGTGGTGGCCTAGAGTGGTGTGGTCGCCTCACAATCAGGAGGCTGTGAGTTCGATCCTAGGTAGAGGTAGACATTTCTCTCTCTCCGGACACGCTGAGAATATATCTGCTGAATATAAGTCCGCACTGGCAACAGGAAAGGCATCCGGCCAGTAAACACTCAGCTCCATTCAGTTGCCCAGACTCCACCCCACAAGGGATGATGGGGTTACTAAAAGATGATGATGAGTGATTCCCTTCACTGAGTGGTGCAGTGGTCTAGAGGCGGAGCTCTTGCCTCACAATCAGGAGGCTGTGAGTTCGATCCTAGGTAGAGGGAAATATTTCTCTCTCTGGACACCATGAGAACATATCTGCGGCGAACTCTGCCCTGGTGACAGGAAGGGCATCGGGCCAGTAACACCCTCAGTTCCACTCCACGAGGGACTTACAAGGTTATTAAACAACACACAGACAAAAGTTGACTAGAATCTTGTCTATAAGCATAAACAATAAATCAGCGTCACTAGAATCTACGGTGGGGTCCAGATTCTTTGTGCCTCACCGTGTTACTCACATTGGAGAGAGAACAGCACCAGGATTGTCAATGGAAATAGTCAAAATCCCTCCGGTTCGGGTAGACGTTCGCCATCTGCTTGGAAAGCACAGCTCATTAATTCCAAATTAAATTTACAGGAAGTTCATGACAATAGCACATGGAACCCGCGGTGACTTTTATCTGGCGATAAATCCTAACAGTACGGAGGACACTGGACAAACCACCTCGTTCATAGCTGCATCTGGAAGAGCCAGGATGGCCCAGGGGTTAGAATGCAGCCTTGCAGGCTGACTCTGCCCACTGCCAGCCGTTCGATCGTGACCGGCTCAAGGTTGACTCAGAACTTCTGTCCTTCTGAGGTTGCTAAAAGGAGCCAGATTGTTGGGGGCAAGAGGCTGGCTCTGTAAACTGTTCAGAGAGGGCTGGAAAACATGTGAAGTGGTATATAAGTGCTATTTTCCTTCCTTCCTTCTTCCCTCTCTCCCTCCTTTTCCTTCCTTCCTTCCTTCCTTCCTACCTACCTACCTACCTACCTACACACACAATGGTTAGAATGCAGCATTGCAGGCTGACTCTGCCCACTGCCAGCAGTTCAATCCTGACTGGCTCAAGGTTGACTCAGCCTTCCGTCCTTCCGAGGTCAGTATAATGAGGACCCAGATTGTTGGGGGCAAGAGGCTGACTCTTTCAACAGCTTAGAGAGGGCTTTGAAAGCCCTGTGAAGTGGTATATAAGTCTAAGTGCTATTGCTATTTCTCCTTTACTTTCCTTTCCTTTTTCCTTTCCTTCCCTTCCTTTTTTCCTCCTTCCCTTCCCTTTCTTTTCCTTCCTTCCTTTCCTTTCCTTCCTTTCCTTTCCTTTCCTTTTTCCTTCCCTTTCCTTCCTTTTTTCCTCCTTTCCTTTCCTTCCCTTCCCTTTCTTTTCCTTCCTTTCTTTTCCTTTCTTTTCCTTTCCTTCCTTTCCTTTCCTTCCTTTCTTTTCCTCCTTTCCTTTCCTTTCCTTTCCTTTCCTTTCCTTTCCTTTCCCTTCCCTTCCCTTCCCTTCCCGTCCATTCCTTTCCTTTCCTTTCCTTCCTATGCAATACTGCAGGCTGACTCTACCTACACCCAACATTTCAATCCTGACCGGCTCAAGGTTGACTCAGCCTTCCATCCTTCTGGCATCAATAAATTGAGGACCCAGATTATTGGGAGCAAGAGTAAATCGCTCAGTAAATCACTCAGAGTAGGGCTGCAAAGCCAAGTGATATATAAGTGTTACTGCTATTGCTATTTCTGTATGGGTTACATTAATGATGCTGGAAATCACCTTTCAAAGCACTGAATTCTGGTTTTTCCCAAAGCTGTTTCCTTTTAGTAAATTATACATAGTCCTCAACTCACAATCATTCATTTAGTGACCAAATTTACAACAGCACTAACAAATTCAGCTGCTCAGCCATTGGCTCATATTTATGACGGTTGCAGTTTTTCCAGGGTCGCACAATCCCCTTTTGCAATTTTTTTAACAAGCCAAGTCAATGGGGGGGGAGCCAGATTCACTTATGCAGTGATTCACTTACCAGGGCGAGACAGGTCATAAATGGGGCCAAACTCAACAACTGTCATGCTTGGCATCAGAAACTATGAGCTCCATTGTGGTCATAAGTTAAGGACTACCTGTATTTACCGAAGCACAGGCAGAGCCTGGTGATGGCAGAGTCAAGAGAGGAACTAGCCTGGCATGCTTACGTTGCCACAAACAGTCTAAATCCAACCTCTCATGTATATTCTGTTAACTGTTATCTAGAGCCAATTTAGTGCTGATGATTAATTAACCAGATTCTCGACAATAAGCACGTGCATTGAATCAGCTTAGCTGGGACTTGAAACAGGGTAATCCTCGGCATGCGACGGTTGCTTTAGTGACTGTTCAAAGTTTACAACGGCACCGAAAAAAATGTGAGCTGTGATAGTTTTTCGTAAGTTTAACTCACTTAATAAAACGTTTCCCTGAGTTTAGTTTACTTTATTGCAATTGCACCTCATACAACGAAACCAAACGCCATCTTCAGTGCATATCATGACCATGAAAATAAACACAAACACACATCCTTCACCCTCCACACATTGAACCGAAAACTCCCGACACCACACCAACACTGCACTAGACGGCAGAATTCAAGAGAGCTACTGCCCTGGGATAGAAGCTGTTTTCCAGCCTATTTGTCCTTGTTTTTATTATTATCCTGTACCATCTGACAGGTGGTAATAGTTAAAAAAAAAAGGGTTCCCAGGATGAGATGGATCTTTGAGGATGTTTTGAACTTTCTTAAGGCAGCAAGAGCTATAAAGCTCTTCCAAAGAGGGGAAAGGACAACCCAGGATCTTCTGGACAATGACATTAACCCTCTGGAGTGCTTTCCTATCTGCCCCTGTGCAATTGGCAAACCCTACAGAGGTGCTACTAGTTAAGATACTCTCTCTAATGCAGCGGTAGAAGGTCACCAGCAGTTTTTCATCCAGTTGTTGTTTTCTGAGCTGCCTGTACAGAATCAAAGAGACCCCTTATTGAACCCCTCGCTTCTCCAGCGACGGAACCGGCTCCTCCTTCTGACCCAACTGAATTCCTGTGCTGAATTTCTGGATGAGTTTGCAAGAACAAAAGATACTCACAGCCCTTAAGACAATGTAGAACTGAGGTATGTCCCCCCCACCCCAAAAGAAAAATAAAATAAAAATAAAATGAGAGCACAGATTGGTGGTTGCTCGGTCAATTTCTTTGTGAATACCTACGGGCGAGTCCGTTTGTTTCCCTGGTTTCCGTAGTCACCTTCTGGATGGACTTGTGCTTGTACCTGGGGAGGAAAGGAAAAA